TGTATATTTGTTATTTCTAAGTAACAATGTGTATTTGTCTGAAAGCTTTTGTTCAAGCTTTTGTTGTAACTGCAAATCAGAAAATGACAGTAACAATCTTTGCTAGTTTGAAAAGACTTCCACCCCAGATGGGACTCGAACCCACAATCCCTGGCTTAGGAGGCCAGTGCCTTATCCATTAGGCCACTGGGGCTGCGTAGACAGATGAATTCCTTACTTTTAAAATAAATATAAGAAAATATCGAAATTACATTAAATTTGGTACAATATAAGAACGCTTTATGTTGGCAGCTTTTACGATACCAACTTTTAGTTAGTTCAGTATACTTAAAATAAGACATTTACATGAAGAATCAACCACTTTTACGCATAATAATTTTTATATAGTTGCATTCGCTACATATGTACATTATCAAACGTTGTTAGTGTAACTTGTACGTCGCGCAGCGTAACAGACGTCAGTTTGTTCGCCGCTCACACTTCACGGCTACACCGCTGCGAGCCACACCACAGACTGTGGCCAACACGAGCAAACAGGAACCAGGCTGGGATGTTTTCCTTGTTTCTGGCAGCTGACTGACTGTGGGGCAATGGTGGTCAGCTAGATTAGCTACTGTAGATAGCAACTTTTGGTTTGCTTTTATGCTCATCTAGATTTCTAAGCTTTGATAAAATAATGAATTTACTACCGTCTAACCCACACGGAAATGGACTTCTTTATGCTGGGTTTAACCAAGATCACGGTAAGTCATTAGACTTCAAAATGAAAATTGGCCACGTCGTTGATGCTAAGCTAAATGTGTTAAGTGTGCATTATTTCAGAAAATGGACACACCAACACTCTGTAGATGCGTATAATTGTCTGCAAATATGACTAAACAGGTTATTTATCCATAACATGACTATGAAAGTTGGTGCTTATCTATTCAATACAAGCTAATCACGCTAGCTACGTTAGCTATCTTATTTCCTGTTAGAACTGGGCTTTCGAGCTGGTATGCTATTTTATCACAATTTTCAAGCTCTTATGAATCTGATGTGTGAAATTCTAAAGAGGTTTGTGACTGTAACGTTAGCATCAGGCCAACAGCTGAAAAACTAAACAAACATGAATCTAAAGCAGCAGGGGCTGTGACCAAAACAGCGCTACATGACACAAGTAGAGCATATGCTAGATTAAAAACTCAAATTATTGTCTGAAACCTAAAACTTCAGTGTTTATTTAATTAATCCAAATGGGCAGATACTAAGAGAATAATGATTACTGTCATGCACCCTGATCATTTTATTTTTATACACACGACGTACACAGTCATTCTATTCTTTAATCATTCTTCAGTCGACAGGAAGCTTTATTTAATTACGCATCAGAATGAAGTTGAGCTATTTGCCTTTATCTATTAATCACATGCCTGTGTGCCCACGTCTGTCCAGGATGCTTTGCCTGTGGAATGGAAAATGGATTCCGTGTGTACAACACAGATCCACTTAAAGAGAAAGAAAAGCAAGGTCAGTATTTTAGTTTTTGTCCTTTTCATCATAACAGTTTAAAAAAAACAAAACGTGTATCTGTATCATTTTTCAACTGCTTTCTACTCACTTTCCTCTGCATGCATTTCAGAGTTCCTTGAGGGTGGAGTTGGGCACGTGGAGATGCTATTTAGATGCAACTATTTAGCATTAGTTGGCGGAGGAAAGAAACCCAAGTATCCAACGAACAAAGGTATGCCCCTTATTGTTTTACTCAGATTCAAATGATGAGTTGAATTTAAATGCAGACTGTCCAAGTCAGTTCTTGCTTGGAAACATTGCAATTTGTGCATTAATCATTGAAGGCGTATTTTTTTTTTCTTCTTTATAGTAAACAATTTAATAAAGTTGAATAAATGTTGCACACATGTTGAGTGTTTGGATAACCCCTCTTAAAAGCACTCTGTAATAAAGCGTGTTTTTTCTTCCTCCAGTGATGATCTGGGATGACTTGAAGAAAAAGACAGTAATAGAGATAGAATTCTCCACAGAAGTCAAGGCTGTAAAACTTCGACGGGACAGGTACTGTTTTTTAACTATACATTAATGAATCATGACTTTAAAATATAATTCTGCCAAATTATTTATTTATTTCAGAATCTCAATGAATTGCATCAATTGTGCATTTGGATGTATAAACACTCATTGTAGCTCTAACACAAATGTCTCTGTGTGTGGCCAGAATTGTGGTGGTTCTAGACTCAATGATTAAAGTTTTCACCTTCACGCACAATCCCCATCAGCTGCATGTGTTCGAGACCTGCTATAACCCCAAAGGTGAGCCAAGGTCACAGCAGTCCAGAGGTCACAGCAGTTGATAGGTCAGATCAGTCAAATTTCCTGGCATAAGCAGGTTATGCAAATGCATGAGTGTGTAATTGTAAGTGGTTCTTTGTTTTATCCCAACAATGCAATGGAATGTAGTCTATAGGAGTGTATAGGGCAACGCCAATTAATGCAGGTTGTGCCCTACATCTCAATTATATCTAATATTGTTTAACAATATTTTATCTATGTGTCATGGTTTTAACCATGATTAATCAATTTAGATGATCAATTCATGTTTTTATTGAACTTTTAGCTATTGTAATGTTAAAACAAAATCACTAATATTTACATAACTGTCATGTATGTTAAACAGTGTGCTCTCTCCACAGGTCTGTGTGTGCTGTGTCCCAACAGTAACAACTCACTCCTGGCTTTCCCTGGAACACACTCTGGTCATGTGCAGATTGTGGACCTTGCCAATACTGAGAAACCGCCAGTGGACATTCCTGCCCACGAGGGGGCGCTGTGCTGCATTGCCCTCAACTTGCAGGGCACCAGGATTGCTACAGCCTCAGAGAAGGTAAGGTATAAGCTAAAGAAAGACCACAGTAAAATGATTTAAGGAGTAACATATTCAGTCTGTTCTACTTTTGTAGTATTGCAGCATATTTATATTTATATATGCTTAATAGTAATAACAATAGTTAAAAAATTATAATTAGTGAAATGACTAAAGAGTGCTGTTTTCTCAGGGAACCCTCATAAGAATCTTTGACACTTCAGCTGGTCAGCTGATACAGGAACTGAGGAGGGGTTCTCAGGCCGCTAACATATACTGGTAATAATCACTTTGTCAAAGGAAATGGTGTACTCTCTATTAGGAACAATAACTAAATATTACTGACTTTTTCTCTAGTTCCTTTCTCTTCTCAAATAAGGAAATGAATTTAGATGTATTTTTTTCTTCTTCTTAAATTTCAGCATTAACTTTAACCAGGACGCATCCCTGATCTGTGTGTCAAGTGACCATGGGACTGTGCACATCTTTGCTGCTGAGGACCCCAAGAGGAATAAGCAGAGCAGGTATGTGCAAACTTAATCACATTAGATTCTTCAGAAAAAATGTACTTCTTCTAAATGTACCTCTGTATGTCATATTTCAGTTTGGCCTCTGCCAGTTTCCTTCCGAAATACTTCAGCTCTAAATGGAGCTTCTCTAAGTTCCAGGTCCCCTCAGGTTCTCCCTGTGTCTGTGCCTTTGGGACAGAGCCCAACGCTGTCATAGGTATGATTTTCTGTTCAGTGGTACATGGCTGTAATGTATTAAATACTACACTATTAAAACTTCTGTACATTACCAGAACCATTTATGTTTACACATAGCTGATTATATATTAAAGAATATATCTATACTCTGAGTTGTATTGAAATCGCTGACGGAGCTTCTCTTTTTGCACGTAAAGCTATTTGTGCTGATGGCAGCTACTACAAGTTCCTCTTCAACCAGAAAGGAGAGTGCTCCAGAGACGTTTATGCCCAGTTCCTGGAGATGACCGATGAAAAGATCTGACCCCTGACCTCTCCTCACAGACTTCAGATATATTTTTATGTTGAAATGGGGACATACAGGACTCTTGGACAGAGGTGAACTGTCTGCTCTGAAAGTGAAAAGAGGGAATTGTTCTATTCCTGAGGCCTCTTTTTAAAGCGTCTTCCGAAGACTTTGAGGATGGCCGGCTGTTTTAACCACAACTGTGATGGGAAAAGCGATCAAACAAATCCGGGAGTGTCTCTAGAGGGAAGCTGTGTAACTACAAATATAAAGCTTCATTCATATATATGTATATGTATATGTATACGTATACACAGACAGACTGTTGATGTATATACAAGTGTACTATAAACAGGATCACACCTGCCACTCAGAGGTCCTGTTATAAACATATATAGTATTAGATATTCATTGTAAGAATACAGACACACCAGAAGACTGAACATTGAGCAAATGTGTAGATGATTGTAGCAAAATTCATAACTAATATTTTGTGCAATATGTTATTTTTTTCTTTATTAATTGTAATTATTTTAACACTTACCTGACCAGTAATTTCTGTTCCTTCCTGAAGTTGGTCTTATTCAGACACACTTTTGCTTTTCCAAGTTAAGTTTATCTTCTTATTGGCTGTATGTTTTGTACTGCCCAACTTTGAGTTGTAAGAGTTCCTCCTTTTCATGTATTAGATGTTTATGTGACCAGGACACAGATTTGAAGGACTGGCCAGGCTAAATACTTAGTCTGAATCTACAAAACTCCATAATAAAACTGGTGAAACCCTGCACTTAAAACTATTCCAATTCACAACCAGTGTAATGAGATGACTAAGTGATCCACTACAGTTGATCTTTAACAACTAACTAAACTAATTACTCAACTTTTTCTGTGCAATAAACATTAACTTAATCATTTGTATGTCCAATCTCTGCAAAGCTTACAAAATGCTGCCAATGATTGTTTCTACAGTAAATAAATGTGTATACTTTTACACTGTTCTCTTGAGTGGTTTGGGTGTAAACTGTCTTTGTTATGGAAGCTGGATTAAATTGGTCTTTGTCAGAAAACAAATGCCTACACAGTAATGTTAAAAGTAATGGGAAAATGCCTTCCATTACCAGTGCTCAATATAATCCAAGAAATAAAACACTTTGCCCAGTGGAGAAGGCTTTTTACTCAAAGAATTACAAACTAAGTAACGCATTTTAAATAAGTTTTTAAAAAAAAGCATTTACCCACCGAAGCAGAACAAACATCTATTACTGTTTTTTTCCTGGCGTAACACAGAATACAGTCTGACTTTAGAGCCGTAAACAGAAGAGAACTGAGTCAAGAGCGTCAACACAAAAAACAGCCAATGACGACGGAAAAGAAATACATTAAAATAAAGTCAAAGTTAAGTGCAGCACTGTTCAGCAGTGCCACAGTTTCTTCAGATCCATATTCAGATTAACTGCTCACCTCTACATCTGGAACATGCAAGCTCCGTGAAACATCTGCTATAAATACACATGGCAATATACTTTATGTCATTAGTTATTTGTAAAATATGAAAATTCTGTCATTGTACAGTAAGAAACAAATTACAGTTGCATGGCTGAGCAGAACATATATAGTGTTTTCTTTTCTCAAAAGGAAAGACTACATTCATTTCACAGAAAGTCCACATGAACAAAAATATCATGATGGTTGCGATGGGTGAATGTTACCCCTCTTTCAGTCAGTGCCTCAGATACACTTAAAAGGTCCTAAGATACACTTGTACAACGAAATACTGCATATATTATCTAGTCACAACAGGGTTAGGGACATGAAGGCTAGCTGCCGCAGATGGGAGTGTCCGAGAGCTTTCCTTACCAAAGTCACTGCTGCAAGTCCTTCTGTTTGTTATGCTACCAATGTTTCCACTTCACCCCCGCTGTGCTTCTCAGTGCCAACAATTCACAGGTTTCACACATAAGTTTCTTTATATATTTGGTCTTTAATACTTTGAAAGACTAGTGGGAGACTTGCACATTCTCTGTAGAGTTTGGCACCGTGGCAGATATAATGGTCTGATGGAGGAGGTTGTACGGAGGCGGGGTGCTCGGCTGCGTTCATTTGTCTCCACTCTGTTCACTGAGCTTGCCTTCTTCAGATCTGTCTGTGGAGCCTTCAGTAACTGTATCCTCCTCAGTTTTGATCCTCTTGGTCTCAGGTTCTTCAGACACTTCTCCGTTTTGTCTCTTTGTGGGCAGAGAGGCCGAGGCAGAGGCGTGAGTGGCCAGCAGGTGGAGCGGGTTGGCCACCACTGGAACAGAAAGAGCAAAAAGGCAACTCTTCACACTCAGTAATAAAATGTTCCAGTTCTGAGAACAGAATGACCAATTATCTTAGAAACTAATTTCCAATCAGTTAATTACACATGAGGCATACCTGTGGTTGTGGTGGTGCTGAGAGGCACAAGGTGCGTCCCATTCTGTGTAATAGTCTTGATTGGGAGTTGGTGCTGTCCCAGGGGGGCCTGTTGAACTATAGTGACTGTAGTGAGAGGAGGGGCCTGGGAGCTTTGGATGATCCGACCGACTCCACCTATAGAGGGAGCACTCATGGATGAGATGGGCTCCACTTTAACTGTAAAACATAATGTGAACAACGTTCATTTTGTACTGTACTTTTATTATCCACCCCAGCAACTCCCTATCTATTATTAGAAATACACAGCTGGCTCCTGCCAACAGAGTGAAATCTGTGTAAAATTGTCCCTGCATTTATTTTGAGATCCTTACATCAATGTGAAAAAAGTTTTGATGTACAATATGTGGTATGCATGTTACAGGACACTAACCATGCCTAAAACTGGTAGTTGATATGTTAAGTTACCTTTGACCTCATGATGTTCCCCTCCTCCATTTTCCTGAGTCCCAGAACTTGCTGAAGCAGGCGGACCTTCCATCGTTGTCATGGTGACTGCTGGGATCTGGTGGACCACATGCACAGTCTGCATAACAGGGGCTGGGCTCCCGGTGGTAGTGACAATGGCAGGTGCGGCCACAGCGTAGGTAACAGGCTTCATAGAGTTTTGAGGTAACTGTCGCTGAACTGCTATCAGTACAGGCTGGCTGTTCAGAGGGGACCCTACAGTGGAACAGGAGGGACATATTTACTACAACTAGCATAATGAAGAAAACACTTACAGATAGAAATTCAAGAGTGCAGTCAAACCCAATAAAATACAAGTCTAAAATGTTTTGACTTTTCTGAAGGGAATCCATTACTGCAGCAAATATGTATGTGGAATAAGTAAAATGCAGAATAATGACAGATGGGAATATAGGTGCATTTATTAAAATAAGAACTGGTTATACTGCCTCATTACCTGGTGAATTCTGTGCAAAGCGAGCTTCTTTGATGACTGCAAGTTTGGGCTGTACAGTGGAAGTATTGGTAGGCCCTGGAGGGGGTGTGGACTCCTGCTCCATAGGAACTGGGGAGCTCTCTCGGGACAGACTATCAGGCGTCTGGACTCCACTGGAGTGAGCTGAGAGAGCCCCAGTGTGGTTAGGAGAGGCTGGGGCACTCCTGTACAATGATCAGGTTATTACACTTATAACACATTAGATCTCCAGATCTGATGCTATCAGCTCTACACTATATGGCAGTTTAGTATATAAATCACATTGGACTGTTACGAGCGTTACCTGGAGGAGAGGGGTCCGACAGGGGTCCTGAAGCAGGGCACTCCACGGGGCCTCCTCTTTCTAAAGGCCTGATCCATGAGTTTGCTCTCTGAGGCAGGATCAATCCTCCAGAAGGAGCCCTTCCCTGGCTCCTCCTGAGAACGTGCCACTTTGATGAAATACCGGTTCAGAGACAAGTTGTGACGAATTGAGTTCTGGAACACCACATAAACATGTAATTCAAAGTGCATTTACAGCCACAACCCTTTCAGAGCTTTCTGTAAGATATTTGTAGGTAACTTAACACATCTCAACATCTGTATTTAAATAATTTATTTTTTTTTAGCTTTTAACACACTGACATTGACAGACATTGCTGAATAATCTTCTTGCTGTGCACAGACTGACCTGCCAGCCCTTGTCGGCAGTCCGGTAGTAGGGGTAGTTCTTGGTGATATGGGTGTAGATTCCATTCAGTGTGAGCTGCTTGTCTGGGGCCATGGTGATGGCTTGGACTATGAGCTGGGCATATGAATATGGAGGCTTGGAGTCGTCCTGTAGAGAAGGTACAATGTATTAGTAATGTTTAACCTTTGGTTCAAATTGTCACAAGCCCTCAAGCACTGTGTATTTCTACAGTATAAAATTTAATTAATTGATTTCTTTATTTGATTGGAACAGTGCATGTTAATGGACAGGCATGATACAGCATGAATGTAAACAGACCGGATTATAGCCAAAAGCTTATTCCCGTCCATTGTCCCAAAGAGGTGGGTTCAATTATTCTTTCTGCTTCTAAAGTGATTGTACCTTTGGGCTGTCCTCCCCAGAGGCATCCTTGTCATTCTCAGAATGTGAGTGGTCTCCCATCAGATCTGGGGCCAGCACTCTTCCTGTCCTGTAGCTGGACAGACCTGCCCCTCGAGGACTTGAAGGGCATGAGTTGGCAGCACTGTAAAATCAAACAAATGGTCAAGCCTCACGTTTTATGATAAAGTCATATGAACCGTGGTCTCATGCACTGACCTGATGGTGCCTGTGGGAGAGGGCAGTGGGCTCATGAGGTGGGCAATGTTGTCGGGAATGTTGATGGTGAGGGGTGAGATCTGGGGCTGAACGGGCTTGACCGGTGATTCGGGCACATTCCTGGGCTCCTTCTTCTCATGGGACAGGGCTGTGAAATTGATCTTTATACTTGTGCTGGGGAAGCGCAAACAGCATCTGGGGCAATAGAAGAAGGCATATAGAAGTTAAGTCACATTCACTGATAATCCAGACCTTGAGGTAAGACATCATTAGGCGATTTTTTTTTAAGTGCACAGTTTGCGCTGAATACTGCATTCTAACATTGTCATCCAAACTAATTATATGTTACAAATTATATTAAACCAGCCTGTGTCCCTTTGGTCCTCCAAAATATTGATTTAATAAAATGTTATCAGACAATGTAAACATGACACATTTTTTATTAGACCCAAATACAATCACTGCGCCTTGGTGCCATAGTAATAGCTGGGAAGGCCTGTTGCTCAGCAACACAAACTTTAGCCTGAAAGTTTAAATATGGATGGACCATGATGCATAAAGCTTAATTTTTAATTATTTCCAAGTGTATGTAAACAGGCTTACTTAGTCACCACACATGTTCAGCATGAGTCACCTCTGCTGGTACGTATAGACCAAATGTAAACATTGCTGTCTGGACAATGGTAAAGCAGCTGGTATGACAAACTACAGACCAAAACACATCCAGTGAGTGAGTGAGCGATAACAGATGGCAAACAAGAAAATAGTTAAATAATTAAACAAACAGAACATTTATGTATATTGTAGCTGTAGTGCAGTGTTTGTGCGGAGTGGGTCAGTGAGTTTAAGTGGTAAAACATATGGGTAAAAATTGTGCTGGTTTATAGTATTCAAAACTGTATTTTGTGGCAGTAGTCAAAAGAATAACGGAATATGTGTACACATACAAGCAGCGCTAAAGCATGACTGTGACGTCTCGATGACGCAAACTGGACTTTACACAGTGCCATGCACAACAGAATGTGATACGTCTTTTTTTTTTCTTTTTTTTTTTTTTTTTTACAGTATTTTAAAAAGTTAAATAAACGTATTTATATATGTTGATCATAGATATGACTGAACACATGGCATTGTATTTGCCGTATGATCAGGGTGGTGGCGCCCGTGCTACAGCAGCCGGTTTGTGTATGGACTGACACGCACGTGCAGCGCCACAGCGGGAAACAAAACAACAACAACGCACAGCACATACGCCACACACTCTTGTAAAAGTACTGCTGATATGATCACTCTTACATTCGCGGGAGCTGCAAAGGTGGGGCTCCTCTTCTCTGGAACACCCCGTCTACAAACACCCCGTTTTTTCCAAGGCACCGGAGGTAGAATTCCCCCGTGCCCGTGCCATCTTCGCCGGCCGTGAATATCTCGAGGTGCCGCCGGGAGATGAAGCTGGAGTGTCCCATGCTTACGTCTACCGAGCCCTGCGAGGAGTTCCGGCCGATGGTTACAGACCTTTTCTTCATCAGATACTCAAATTCTCGGCCCTCCAGCCGGGCTACCGCCGACCCCATCCCGCTTACCACCGCCATCTTCTCACTTAACAGTTTACAGGGATATTTGAAACCACGAATTTTTACGAGATGGCAGCGAATTTGTAAATGAAACGCTTTAGAGCTGGGCAGCGAGGGAAATCCAAATTTACACACAGGAGAATTTAGCTAGGAACGTGCCAGACCGGGGACGCAGCGGCTCCGACCCACCGCCGCAAGAAGAGGAAAAGCGAGGGCCATCAACCAATCAAAAGCGGCCAAACAGTGGTTCTGAAGTGATGGATAGCCGCCTGGACCAATCAGAGGCTGAGCTGGGTAGGCAGATGTGTGGTGTTTACCAATGACAACAATAATAAAGAAATAGCTGTAGGAAATGGAGCTCGGTTGCAGAGTAGAGTCGGTGTGTGACACGCAGATGAATGGAGAGCTGGAAAAGCGGAAGATGAAGAGGATATGAGGAGGTTCATTCATTGTTTTAGCCATTAGTCACACTGGGAAGCCTTGTTCCAGTGCTGGTCAATAGGCCTTAACCGTCTGAACTGTATGTGTCCTTAGATCAGTCAATATCTAGGGCCTAGGCTATTACATATTTCATGATTATTCATAATAACTTACTTATTTACTTATTTATATATTATATACTCTTATAAGATGAGCCTTCAGATTTAAAATGCCACAGGGCCTCAGTTTTAGTCAAATTTTAAAGCAGTAAAGTGTGCTTGAGATGCTCTTCTGATTCTGCCAAAGCATAAGACATACCTCCCCATCTTAACTTTAGTGATGAGCAGTCTGCCACCTGCTTGTCTCCATAGAGATGATATTGCACTATTGGTATGACATTGAGGTTGCATTTATTCAATTGTAAGGGTAATTTCACAAAAATGCTTGAAAAATGCACATTCTTATTGTGAGCTGATTGCCTGGTGGTCTGGTATTCATCTGCTTGACCCCATGTAGATAAATAAGTTTAATTTGAGCATCTTTATGGACATAAGCAGGTGACAGACCGTCAACCAGAAGTTACTATCTGCACCTTTAACATTGTGAAATTGTGCTGTTACCATACTGGTGACATTGTTTTTAGGATTCTAGTCTCAGTATAACACCTATTGATTTTCTGTATGTGCTGTAACTTGTGAATGTGAATCATGAAATAATTATTTTTTCTGTGTCCAAGGCACCAAGACCACACCTGTCTCTGTGTGTCAGGTGTGGTCAGATGTTGAATGTTCGAGGGGAGAAAATGTCTGAGCATTTTGTTCCTCGGAGCTTTAAAGAAGGCGCTCTCTCAGTGGCCCGGGTCTCAGCTGGTGCACTACTGCTGTGCTGAGAGTAGAATTATGGGTAAAGACATTTTTCCTCAAAGTATTTAGTCCCAGCAGAATCCAGCTGGCATTATGTGTGTGCTAAAACATTTTCTCAGATAACATAAGACATTGCTTTGATAAGTGAATCTATAATATGGATTTGTAGGGGGCTCCAGTGACCGCTCAGACAATCATGTTTCTGGAGTTCAAAGGAATGAGGAATCACAGGAGGAAATGCACCATAAGGTAAAGAACCCAAACTTTAAAAAAAAAAAAAAAAAAAAAAAGTTTTAGTTCTCTCTCAGTGAATTAAATTAGTAATAGAATCAACCTTTTTCAGGGGTAGTCTGGGCTGTTTTAGGTGCCGTCACTTTCCATTTCTGTTGTTCAGACTATAGTCATACTCTCAGTGTCCTGTACCTCTACCACTGAGCCACTCTCCTGCGCTTGGATCAGGCTATATAGGTGTTCAGTCAAAACAATTCGGGCCATACAATGCATTCTGCATTCATGTCATGTTTGGGAGTTTTTATTCCAATAGCAAGAGCTTGTATAATTTTGATAAAGCAAAATTAACAGAATTTCCAACCAGTAATTACTGCTAAAGGTCATAGTCATTTTATAATTAATTCAGCTTTCAGGTTTTATTTGAGACCATCTGGTGTTATTAAACGCTGCAGTGTAATCACACTCACACTATGCCTTTGAGGGCAACATTATAAATGGCTAAAAATAACCTTTTGTCTGTATAACTTTGAAAAGGCCATCCGCCGAAAGTAGTATTTTGTTACCCTCAAAGCATACACATTACATACTGCTTATATTGTATGTGCATACAGGTGTATAGTTATAATTAATCTTTATTTACTGTACTAAATTGTATTGCACTCTTTTGTAAATCATCACCCTAAATGGCAAGAAATGTGCAAATACAGAAAGTGTTGTGTTTTTAGCCACTAGAGGGAGCCAGCCTTTTATGCAAACTTTTTTGTACTTGTATTCACTGTCACTATTTTATATTAGGCAATAAAATCAGTTGAATGCACCAGAAGGTACTAGCATAGCACATACAAACATTGTTATTTTAAAGGTATTTAAATTGATTATTTCTTTATGCAGCAGTTAAATGACCCATTTAACCCCAATTAATTTACATATAGTGTAGGATAATTAGTCTGGAAGAACCAACATTTTAAAGGTGCAATCTATCACTTTTCTAGTAAAGGCTCAGACACCTGCTTGTTCTCATGGTGATATCATTAAACTGTTGTTAACTCCATGGAGACAAGCAGGTGAGACCTAGGAAAAGTTACTGGGCACATCTGTTGAGAGTCAATTTTTTTGTTATTAAAACACCTGTAATTTAAAAAATACATCATCAACATGAATAAAGACTCGATATGAGAAAAGTTACATAGTGCACTTTTAGGTGTTCTCTCCATTTTCCCGGATGGGAGTTGCTCTGATTATCTTGTATTCTTGCATGGCATCCCCTTGCCCCTGCAGGTTTCTCCATTGTCAAAATGGGCTGATATTTTTAGCAATGCCCCAGTTTAGTAAAGATTTGACACCAGTCCCCATTTAATTAGGTTTAATAGTTTGATTACACACAGCAGATATCCATTAGTGAAAAAACATTACATGAAATTTCAGTAGCTTCTTTTGTGTGAAGTGGTTTGTCGCTCCTTTCAAAGAGCATTTACCCTAGAAGTTGAAAAATTTCTAGTCTGGGTTCCACACATATTCTGTTACTGTATCATTTGGCAAGACACTTCACCCACCTTGCATAGTATGAAAGTAGTGTGTTAGTATGATGCTTTAAGGATCCAATGGGCCAATGGCACAGATTGACCACCTTGCTTCTGTCAGTCTGCCCCAGGGCAGCTGTGGCTGCAGAAGTAGCTTACCAACACCGAGTGTTTAGTGAATGCATAATGGCTACAGTGCAGTGCTTTGAGAGGCTTTGACAAACCAAACCTTGTAAACGATATTATAAATATAAGGCATTATTATTGTATTATTAACATCTCACAGCATTGTAGAATCTGAAAGCTACACATTTTTATTTATACATTTTGGCATCATTGTTCATTGTCCTTTTCATATCTCTGCATATAGCTTTGGGTAATCAAAAGTTGTATTGAATACACAAATGTTGTAATCACATATTCCCTGTTAAGGCAATGGTGTCAGTCATGCTCACGTGCCCTGCAGATTTACACACATCCAAACGTGCACGCACACTTAAGAGCTCCAGGCCACATCTGTTCCACTCCAAGTTAATTCAGTGTAAACACAGCGATCTGAGAATGACAGGCAGGATTTCTCAATGGAGTAAAGCATGGGTTAAACCAGAGGAGATGGTGACTGAATGATAGCAGCTCTACTTCAATACAAAAGATTTAGGTCATGTATTAGTGTTCTTGAGTCTCTCTAATTGCTTCATGTCTCATTCACAAGCAATAGTATGCACTTAGTTGGGTGTGTGAGTGTTGGAAAAAAAAACATGAGTCACCTTATATAAGTTGACAGCTTAGTTGTTGAATGAAAAATGTATGTATTAAGCCATAATCTTCATCATAAACAGGAATGTGCAGTAAGTCCAGTCTCGCAAAAATTAACATACACACATACATTATATTTAGGTCCAGAGTCCATTTAGGCCTATATTAGAGTCCACCCATCCAATCTATTAGTTTGTTAATGATATTGTGTCTGCCTGGAGTCTTTTGGCCCTGTGTTTTCCTTTACTCATTTATTTTGGATTTTATTGTAATATTCACAATCACGGTTTCTTGTTGCTGACCCCTGACTGAAAATGAACATGGGATAAAAATATTTGCGCCATTTAATACAACTCCAGATATGATTCTCTGCTCTTGTAATTTTGCATCTGGACACCAAGAACTATTTTAGCAATTACATTAGTAGTGGTGTGCAAACAAATTATAAACTGGTATGAACTACAGATTCTGTCAATGCCCCAAGTGAACTCTGGGAAATGTAGTTGGGAGTAGAGTTTCACCAGTCTGCCTGTGCGTCACTGTCATTTTAGACAGCACCGTAGATAGTGGGCATGTTTAATGGATTAGCCCTTTTATTGGTGACAAGCAGAGATGGATGAACTACAACAAGACTGGACAATGAGAGGCCATTAAAAATAGAAAGCTGTGAAGGGCTGCCAGCGCTTGAATAGGACCAGAGATGGCGAACAATACACTCCAACCATTGCGTTTTTACCTTCATTGCTTGCATGTTTTACCCAATTCCCCCCTTCCAAAATGGCTTCACCTGAGTTGCTGTAATAATTGTGCATATTTTATCACTCTTACCCCATCGCTGACTAAGTGTTCACCAAATGTTTGATTACACATTGATCAGCAATGCACCTGGCACCTGCGAAATCATATTTTTCCTCATAAATTCTGTAGTGAACTATTTTTTAAACATAGCTGGCTTTGGGAAACGCCCACACATCCGCTGAATGCACTCAACTTTTTAGCATCACAAACGCCTACGCAAAACACATGTGGGCTAGTTTTACATCCTGGTTTGAACTACATTACCATACAATTAAAATTCAGCCAGAGGAATCCAAGTATAAGTCTCAATATGTGTGCTATGCTGTCTATTGATGTATGATTTTCACAGCATCTTGAGGGTCTTTCTCCGTAGCCTTACCGTTATTGTGTCTTGTATCCTCCAGCTCCACATTAATCACACTGACAATAAAGAAACACCTTTACAACCAACTTAAACCTGGTCTATTTCTTTTGCTGGGGAACCAATGGTAAGGAAACCAATTTAAATGCTTACTTTGAACCTGTCATCTTATAATTTATTAGGCTGGACGATAAACCAGATATGCTGACTATACAATGCATCCCCAATTACCAGTTATCAGTAGTATTCTGCAGTTACTCTGGTCGCTTCTTGGACATGATGATCAATGGTTCAATATGACTTTTTTTTTTTTTTTTTTTAGCAAGAGCAATAGAGTGTCATGGTATTCTTTGCCAGAGATGATCATAGCAGGGTCAAAGTTTCTGCTAAGATGTAATGTTAGTGAAGTGTTCAGCATCAAGTTCTCATGAAAAACATCTCCGGGCTTATCCTTATAATCCGCTCTTAGCCCCTTTTATCCTTCAGACTTAATTCTCTCATGGGGATATGGGAACCACTGAATCAACAAAGGCTGAATGAGCGCCGATTGGACACTTGAGGAATTTCAGATAATGAAGCTCTCATTTTTTTTACTTACAGGTATGAGAAGAGAAAATGTAATCCCTCACTTTGTCTCAAGAGTCTCATAAACCAGCTACACAATGGCAGCTGGTTCACACGACCACAATAGACTGCATTGACCAACACGCTAGTAATCCATCTCTCCTTGATTTTCAGACATTCACACAAAAGCCATGTGCTGATAGTAGCACTATAGGGCGTAATGGTGCTGTCAGCTGCACACAGAGCATCCTCTCCTCCGCTCCTCCCTCCTTCTCTTGCTCCCTCGTCCTCTGGCTCCCGCGTCTCACTTTCACTCACTCTCTATGTACCACACATGAAAACAGGTCCCTACAGGGAAGCTCGCCTCTCATTGGGTGGAGAGACAGTAGCGAGAAAGGGAGCACAAGAAGAAACAACTCTGATGCTACAGAGGACTGAGGAAAAGCGAGGCGTCAGATCCCTGTTTAATGCTTGAGTGAGTGAGGTGTAACTTGTGTGAATGTGAGAGGGGAGAAGGGGCAGCGCTGGGACCTACCTGGGTGTCACCTGGACCTGATCGTTGACTCGACAACTGTTTCTGACGGCTGTTCATCAACCTCCGCGTCACTGTTTCTGGAGCTATTTTAGTCTTCCCAGGACCAGGGTTGTGTTTGGGAGAGGGTGCTACTGTTGAGAGGGGCTGTTTTAAATGTGCGTCCCGGTGACCATTAGTGGACTGTACCTGGAGCACCTGGAACCACTGGGATGGTGTGACCTGCAGCCTGCTGAGGGCTGCGCACTCCTGGGTCAAAATGCCTGTGATGAAGGGCCTCCTGGCCCCTCAGAACACCTTCCTGGACACCATCGCCACACGCTTCGATGGCACTCGTAAGTGCAGCCTCTGCTTTTTCAATTGTCTCAATGGGATGATGTAAAACAGGGCAGTACTAAACACAATAACACAATGATGTCATTGTGTTATGAATATCTTAAAGTTTCATAATCTACACTATACTGGGTAGACCTTTGTCGTTTTATGTGCTGAGTGTTGTTTTGTAACTAAATATATATTTTTTTAGAATTTCTAATTCTAATATTTCAAGTTGACTCTATATCCTTTTTTTTTTTTTCTTTTACTATTTTTTAATAAAGAGAGCAAGGAAATGTCTTGTAC